GATTTTATTTATTTATTCATGGGACCCCAGGATCATGCCCTGAGCCAAAGGCAGATGCTCAACCGCTGACCCACCCAGGTATCCCTAGCACACTGATCTTAACAGCACATTTAAAGGAGCATACACCAAAATCCAGTGGGATTTATCCCTGGGATGCAAGGATGATTCAACATATACAAATCAATCAGTGTGATATGCCACAATAAAATGAAAGAAAAAAACCCACATGATCATCTCAATAGACACAGTAGAAGAATATGACAAAGTTCAATATCCACTCATGATTTAAATTCTCAACATAAAAGGTATAAAATGAACTTACCTCAACACAATAAAGGCCATGCCATATATGAAAAGCCCACAGTTAACATCCTTATTTCTTGCTAATCAAAAATATATGTGTTCTGACCTTCCACTCCCAGAAACCCAGACATCAGACCTTTTTGCCTTTTCTAATGTATGATTTGAAGCCAAGGCAGAGGATTACAATCTCCTGTTGTCATCAAGCCAATTAAATCTAAGAAGTTGCTCCAGTTCTACCTTCTTCGAAACAGAATCCTCCAATCTTACGAGAGAGATGCTGCCCCAGACAACTGAAGGGCTCCCTGAGAGCTTAGGTTGCAGAGAGATGAAAAGCAAATCCTGAAAGACTTCAACATGCTTCTGTTTCAAAGTCTCAAACCAATAGCACAAACACACACACACACACACACACAAACCAAAACCAAAGGAAAAGACACAACAATGAGGATAATACTCACCCTAGTGGAAAACAACACTAAAAAGCAACAAGAAGCCATAGAGGCACTGAGCACTAGCCAAGTAAGTACAAGGCACTGTGGTACCCAGTCCTTTCCACTCCCTACTTTGTGCTAAGCACTTAAAAACACTCACTTGCACCATTCCCACAATGACAACTGCCTGGGGATTTCTGTCACCATTTCATAGATGACTGCTAGTTAACCTGAGATCCAGAGATGAAATAACTTGCCTGAGGTCAGATGGCAGAGGAACAGATATGCTCTTTCCAGGCAAGTGAGCTGCCTTAAAAGACAATGAGCATGTAACGATGATCCTGATATAATGGCATCTAACACTGAATGATGACTATGTTCTATGAAATATTAAAATATAGAGCTATCCAAATTAGTACTGAAGAAGACAGAAAAGACTTATACAAACTGAAATAGAAGTGTTGGAAGCAAACTTTTAAAGATTTTATTTATTTTTTAGAGAAGAAGGGAGAGAGAAAGAGAGAGAAACTCAAGCAGACCCCATGCCCAGCAGAGCCCAACATGGGGCTCAATCTCACAACCCAGAGATCTGGACCTGGGCCAAAATCAAGAACTGGAGCTTAACTGAATGAGCCACCCAGGCACCCCAATAAACTTTTATATAATCTTGACATGGAAAGTTTCCTAAGAATGAAACAAAATCCAGAAATTATAAAGAAAAAGGATATATAGGAAGAAGGAAGAAAAATTTTTAAATATATACATTATAAATAAAGAAAAACACTATTTGGGTAAAAATATTTACTACACATCTGACAAAGGACTAATTTCTTCAGTATACCAAGAGCTCGAATAAACCAATCAAGCACAAATAACCCAGAAGAATATAAATGGCAGTTAAGAAAAAAGGAAAAGTTCAAAACGCCAAACACAGAAAGATGGTCAATATCATTCATAATTTAAAAAATGCAAATCAAAATAATGACATCTGATTTTTTACCTATTGGGGATCAAAAAGCTTTAAAAAATCTGAATACAGGGATCCCTGGGTGGCGCAGCGGTTTGGCGCTTGCCTTTGGCCCAGGGTGCGATCCTGGAGACCCGGGATCGAATCCCACGTCGGGCTCCCGGTGCATGGAGCCTGCTTCTCCCTCTGCCTGTGTCTCTGACTCTCTCTCTCTCTCTCTCTCTGTGACTGTCATAAATAAATAAAAATTAAAAAAAAAGGAAGGTGGGAATAAAAAAAAAAAAAAATCTGAATACACTAGATATAGGTAAACTGAGGAGGGCAATTTAGCTCTCTAGACCCTAAAATTTATATGGAAACACAAAGGACCCAAAACATCCAAAACAACTTTTAAAAATAACAAATTCTAACCTTATTCTATTTCTTTTTTTTTTCCTTATTCTATTTCTACACTGATTTTCAACAAATTGCCCAGGCAACTCAATAAAGATAGTTTTGTGGGTTTTTTTTAAGATTTTATTTATTTATTCATGAGAGAGAGAGAGAGAGAGAGAGAGAGAGAGGGAGGCAGAGACACAGGCAGAGGGAGAAGCAGGCTCCATGTCGGGAGCCCAACATGGGACTCGTGGGACTCGATCCCTGGGCCCCAGAATCACACCCCTGGCCAAAGGCGCTGCTAAACTGCTGAGCCACCTGGGCTGCCCAAGAAAGGATAGTTTTTTAACAAATGGTTCTTGGGACATTTAGGTAGCCACTTGCAAAAGGAACCTCACACCATACACAAAAATTAACTCAAAATGTTTCTTAGACACGAATAGAAAAGCAAAAACTATAAAACTTCTAGAAGAATAGCTATGAGAAAATCTTTGTGACCCTGAATTCAGCAAAGATGTCAGATACAACACCAACAGCACAATCCATATCTAAAAAATTGATAAAATAAAAAAAAAATAAAAAATAATAATAAAAAAATAAAAAATTGATAAAATAGATTTCATCAAAATTTAAAACTTTTACACTTCAAAAGCTATCATTAAGGAAATTAAAGACATGGACCTAGAGGGCATTATGCTAACTGAAATAAGCAAACAATGACAAATATCCTATGATTTAATTATATGTAGAACCTAAACAACAAAACAAATGAACAAATAAAACAGAAACAGAATCTTAACAGAATAAACCAATGGTTCCAGAGGAGATGGGATGGGAGGATGGGCAAAATAGATGAAGGAGATTAAGAGGCACAAACTTCTAGTTATAAAATAAGTTAAGTCGTGAGGATGTAAAGTACAGCATAGGGAATACAGTCAGGAATACTGTAATACAGTCAAGAGGATAACTACACTGACAATGGTAAAATGACAATGGTATTTTATAATGTATAGAAAATATCAATTCCCAAGTTGCACAACTGAAACTAATATATAGAATGTGAACTGTACTTCAATTTTTAATTAAAAAAATAAATAAAATGAAAGGTCACAGACTAGAAGAAAAATCTTTGTGAATCACACATCTGATAGAGAACTTCTATTCAGAATACATAAAGAATTCTTATAACTTCATGATAAAATATACAACCCAATTTTAAAAATGGGCAAAAGACCTGTATAGGGGATCCCTGGGTGGCTCAGTGGTTTAGCACCTGCCTTCGGCCCAGGGCGTGATCCTGGAGTCCTGGGATCGAGTCCCACATCAGGCTCCCTGCATGGAGCCTGCTTCTCCCTCTGCCTGTGTCTCTGCCTTTCTCTGTGTGTCTCCCATGAATAAATAAATAAATCTTAAAAAAAAAAAAAAGACCTGTATATATATTTCACCAAAGAGGATATTATACAACTGGCTAATAAGAACACGAGAAGATGTTCAATATCATTTGTCATTAGGGAAGAACCAAAACCATAATGAGGAACACCATACATCTATAAGAATGGCTAACCTCAAAGACACAAACGATGACAAATGTGGACGAAGATGTGGAGAAACTGTAAAACCCTCGTATACTGATGGGAATGTAAAATGGTACAGCCACAGGAAAGTTTGGCAGTATCTTTAAAAAGTTAAACATAAACTTACCACGCTATCTGGCAATTCCAATCCTAGGCATTTACCCAAGAGAAAATGAAATAGTTATCCATACAAAGACTTGTACATGAATGTTCCTAATAGCTTTGGTCACAAAAGTCCAATGCTGGAAACAATCCAAACACCCATCAATTGGTGAAGGAAGGAAATGTAGTACAATCATGCAACGGAATAGTATTCAGCAATAAAAAGGAGTTAACTCCCAATTCCTGTGACATTGATGAACCCCATAAATGTTATGCTAAGTTAAAGCCAGATGCAAAAGTCTACATGGTGTATGGTTCTACTTATGGGAAATGCCCAAGAAAGGCAAATCTAGAGACGGAAAGATCAGGTTGGCTGGTGTGGGAGCAGGGACTGACTCCAAGTGTAAACTCCTTGGCTCTAAGGAAACCTACTGGGGTGAAAGAAATATTCTAAACTTTGTGTCATTGGGATGATGGTTGCACACGTCTACACATTCACTAAAACTCATTGAACTATACACTTAGAATCAGTTATTTTACAGTGTTAAATGGCACCTTTATAAACCTGAAGAAAAAAAAATAACCAGCTCAACAAAGGACTCATTAGAGATTAAACAAGTCTGGCAATGTAATGCTAATTACTGAAGGTGGGTGATGGGTTTTAGGGATTCCTTATACTATTTCTTCTACTTTTGTAGATGTTGAACATTTTTTATAGTAAAAGTGGTGGGTTTTTTAATGATTTTTAAAATTTATTTGAGAGAGAGAGAGCAGGGGCGGGGAGCAGCAGAGGGAAAGGAAGAAGCAGGCTCCCGGCTAAGCAGGGAGCCTGACACAGGGCTCAATCCTAGGACCCTAGGATCGTGACCTGAGCTGAAGGCAGACATCAAACCAACCAAGCCACCCAGGCGTCCCTGTAATAAAAACTGTTTTTAAACAGACACTTTTATGTGTACAAAAATATTCTGGAGAAAAAAATTTTTTTAAATCAAAGACTATGTACCTCTGATGAATGGACTGGGAGTAGGTGGGTGACCTTCTTTTCATTTAAAGCTTTTTAATCCTAACTTTATTGCATGTACATAGATCACCTATATTCAAAATAAATATTTACATTTTAAAAAGGAGAAGGAAATGGGTTGCCTCTGAAAATACTTGGGCAAATTCCCCTGAAAATGTACAGAAAATGGGAGCAATGAGATGAGAATGATGCACAGGGGATTCTGGCAACAGATGTGTGAGTAACCAGTGCTTGTTTCAGCAGTACATATACTAAAATTGGAATGATACAGAGAAGATCAGCAATGGCCCCTGGGGCAAGACGTGTGAGTAACCAGATCAGTAATAATCCCTAACCTTAGAGAGGGGACTATAGATCCCCCTGAGAATCTTATGTCACTAGATGAAAGGTACAATATACAGAGTACAGTCAATGATATTGTAACAGTGTTGTATAGTGACAGGTGGTAGTTACACTTGTGGTGAGCATAGGTTTAGAGTTGTTGAATCATTTTATGTGTGCCTGAAACTAATACAACATTGTGGGTCAACTACAATTAAAAAAAAAAAAAGGGCTATAGACACTGTTCTCAGAAAAAAAAACAATTCAAAACACAGATTCCAGGAGGATCAAAGACCTAGAAGTTCATAGGCCCCAAATAAAACCCTTGTACTGGTTACCATTCCACTTCTTATGACTCTGACTTCATTATCTCTGCAGCCCAGACAGCCTGCTAAAGGATGTTTGTCCCATAGTTCGTTTCTGTAGGGAAGTTAGGGAGTAGCAAAATACCTGCTTCTTGGGAAATTCCTTTGTATCTTCCTTTAATTTTTAATTGGTCATCATAGGAACTTCTATGTGAAGTTCAGTCTGAAAAGCCAATTAAGTATTTAGCAAATACCCATTCAGAGCCAAGAAAGGAGCGGGAGTCCTAACATGTGAACCAGCCCATTCAATGTTATTTTGCTTCATTTGGTTTCCAACTCACGAGACAGCATGTCAAGAAACAAAGTGATAGCAATCTAGAATCCCTTCATGCTGTAATCTAACACTCCATCACTGGCAAAGATATGGGTGACCTGGAAAGTTATAAAGCTCAAGAGACCCAAGAATCAAGGTCCTGCCCTCCCTATCTATTTTATTCTAGGGGGGGCTGGGCATGCAGAAAAACTCTCCTAAGAGTCCAATGAAGAAGTGCTAGGACTAAAAAGTACCCCTCACCTCCTAAAATTTGCTCCACCTAGTTTAAAAGGTGTGAATAATTCTTCAAAAAGAAAGGCGGGGGGGGGGGGGGGGGGGGGAGAAGAGGTTTCCTGTTGAGATCTAAAAAATCAGTTCATTCACTCCCATCTCTCTGTGGCCAGAAGTTAACCTTTTCTCTTCTGGAGGCCCCTGCCTTGTAGTCTTCTTTCCCATTAATAGCATCACCTAGCGACTGAATCTGGCCTGTCTGAACAGCCTTTTTGGTTCCTGGTTCCCATTCCATGTTTCCTGCCACAAAAGTAGCACCTTCCTATACAGTAAGCTAGATTCTTCTATTTCCTTCTCAAAAATAGTCGCCATTTTAAGATCATGTAGTAACAGCTCCCCAGATTAAGAAAAAAAGAAAAGAAAGAAAAAGGCTGTGGGGCACAGTTTGCCAACAGTTAACAAAATCAATTACCCAACCAGTTGAAGCTCCTCTAGAGTTCAACCACACTTGCATGAGGGCTAATGACAGCTAAGGACCACTTACCAAGCAGCCCCCACAGAGCTAAGGAACTCAGAGGCCAAAAAGAAAAAGAGGAAGGAAAAAAAAAAAAAAGAACCAAATTAGCCTTGGGAGGCTCTAAAAATGTAGAGTTCATTTCAGAGCCCATAGATAGAGTTGCCGTTGAGCAGATACAGAGAAAGACTCAAAGCTGCACTTTGGGAGTAGGGAAAAAACCACAGCTAGCTGTGGAAGTCCCAGTGAAAATAACTACCCTTCACCAAGCAACAGACCACCAGATCTAAGCCTTCAGGCCAGAAAGTGCACAAGTAAAGCACAAGAACTGCACTGACCTTCCCCTCTCGGCATTTATAAAAGAATGCTCAGTTAGTTGAAGCAACAGGCTTAAGTTGTTCACCTCTGCAAGACTTCAAATCTTGGAACAGAAAAATTACACAGAGCTTTGTGCCAGGCACTACTCTCCTCTCATTCATATATATATATATATATATATATTATTTATTTAGATTTTATTTATTTGACAGAACACAAGCAGGGGAAGCTGCAGGCAGACGGAGCAGCAGACTCCTTGCTGAGCAGGGAGTCTGATATAGGGCTCCATCCCAGGACTCCGGGATCATGACCTGAGCCGAAGGCAGACGCTCAACAGACTGAGCCACTCAGGCGCCCCTCCTCTCATATTTTAATAATCACAATGATCCTTTAAGGACAGCGTCACCCCTCATTTTAAAAATAAGGAAACTGAATCAGTACGGGATGATAAAAAGTTCCGAAAATGGATGGTGCTGAGGGTTGCGCAACACTGTGAATGTAATTAATGCCACCGGATTGTATACTTTAAAAACTTAAAATGATATATTTTGTTATATATGTTTTACCACACACACACAAAGATTTTAAAAATGGTTAACTGCAGTTTTAAAAAAAATAGCTTGTCCAAAGTTATGAAATCAATCACAGTATCAGATTCTAGCCCAGGGTCCTTAGACCAAGCCTTAGTTTTTTTCACCTGTAAAAATGGGCTTTTGTAGGGATCACATGAAATATTGGATGGGCATATGGTTTATCAACTGAAATGTATTGTGTGAGTAGAAATTTCTCCCTTGAAATCAGGGCTCATAGGGGATTACCACACACTTTTAATAGCTTTTGAATCAAAATGTCAGAGTAGGAAACACTTTATAGAGAAACTAGTTTATTCAGGGATTGCAAAATCAAACACTTAGCGAGATCATGCAAGTGACCTAAATGGTGATACTACCCTGGGGTGATACAGGAAGGTGCTGAGAAGGAAGTGATGAGCAGGGCCCCGAATAGGGAATGCCCCTAACAGGGAATCTGGGCCCAAATTCTCAGGAGAAAATGAAAACCTAGAAGCTTTTAAATGTGAAATCTCCCAATTAAACGTTGGCAACCAGGGTGCCTCGGTGGCTCAGTCGGTTGGTGTCTGCCTTTAGCTCTGGTCATGATCCTGGGGTCACAGGATTGAGCCCCGAGTCAGGTTCCCTGCTCAGCAGGGAGCCTGCTTCTCCCTGTTGTCCCAGCTCATGCTCTCTGTCGATCTCTCTCTCTCTCTCTCTCTCTCTCTCTCTCTCTCTCTCTCGCAAATGAATAAAAATTTTAAAAAGAAAATGTTGGCAACCAACTCAAAAACTTTTAAGTTCTGGGTCAGTCAAAACCAAACCAAACCAAACGAAACAACCTCCCCGCCCCCCAAATCAAGTCCATGTTAGGATGTGGTCCATGGACTGCCGAACTTATAATCTGATGTACCATGAGTAGAAAATGAGGCCCAAAGATGCTAAGTGACTTGCCAGGGCACCCAAACTCCCTTCTAAATTGCCATAAGAATTCAGTTCCAACTTGTGCTTTGATTTTGTTTTTTAAGGACTATAAGTAGCACTTAGCATATCCTCAGAATACAAACCCTGGGGATTTCAGACAGTGTGAGGCCTGTCAGTTTAATGCTCATGCAGAGGTGAGAAATCATGTTAGGATGGCAGAGAAGGAAGCAATGAAGAGGACAGAGATGGAACTGAGAAGTCCTGGGTGTCCCCAACAGTGCCCCATTTGGGAAACACTAGTGTCAGCAAATGGTTCAAGGATCAAAGCAGGTTGGGGTGTGGTAGGTGGCTATCATTCGTCTATGGCCAGATGGCCCTGCTCATCCTGGGTCCTTCCCACCTTCCTGCCAGTGTCCAGAGATCAAAACTCAACCTTCTCCACCATTCTGTGATTGGTTCTTTTAATGCCAAGATCAAAGGGGAACTTTTGTCCAAGTTGTAAAAGAGAAACCAAGAGGCAACTTAATGTTGTTTCAGCCTCCTCTGTACTTCCTGAGAGGATTAAGACACTTCTTTAAAGGGACTGCTAGGAGAAACACATCTGAACCAGGGCCTGATATTGGCACCTTAGCTCCAAGGAACACCGCGGCTCCTGCAGAATTCATGCCAGGCAGCGCAACTGGAGAGATCAAAGAGACAGCACAACCAATAGACAGTAGCTTGGAAAGAATACAGAAACTATGATCATGGGGAGAAAAAGAAAAAAACAAAACAATAACCCTTAAATTTGAGTATTCTAAACTACAGAATTTTCAAATTTAAATTTTGAAACCATCAAGTCCAAGCCTTAATTTCATATATGACATATGTGGCTACAGACCAAAAAAGTCAAGGGTGTTTGCCCCAGGCTACATGGTGGATCGTGTCAGTGCCAGGACCGAGTCCTAGACTGCTGACTCCTGCTCCAGGACTCCATCCTCAATGGGCTGATACCAACCCAAACATGATGCCCAGACAAGACAGCAACTTCCTATACATAGGACTGGTGGCAGAGCCCAGGCCTCCTCTTCCAGTCTCCTACCAACTAGATTTTGCCATGAGAAACAGTTCCTGTGCTTCTGACTAGGACTGTGGGGGTTGCCTAGCACTGCCTCCATTTGCTCAAATGAACCTTGTTGTCATTCAGTCTATTACCCTGCCTCTGGACTGGATCAAACCCAAATAACCTCAAAATACTGTCAACTGACCTAGCAACTCTACTCCTAGGTACGCACCCAAGAAAACTGAAAATATGTGTTCACAGAGAAACACATACATGCACATAAATGTTCATAGTAATGTTATTTGCAACAGCCAAACAGTGGGGAAAAAATCCCAATATCCATCAATAGATGAAAGGCTAAACAAAATGTAGTATAGCCACACAACGGAATATTATTCGGCCATTAAAAGGAATGAAGTACTAATACCTGTTACAACATCAACTTTGAAAACGTTATGTTGCCTTAAAAAAAAATAGATACAAAACACCATATATTATATGATTCCAGTTATATGAAGCGTAAATTTACCCTTTCAGAAGGGTAAATTTTAGGGTTATATGAATTATATCCAATAAAAAGGAAAAAGATAAAACCCAGACAGTATGGACAATGATATATGTGAGAAAGTACAGTTTTATTCTCCAAATGGAGGTTTCCAGACTCCTGAGATGCCTATAAATGTACTCAGAGGATATTTTATAAGTTCCACCAAAGTAATAATCCCCAGAGTATGTTCCATATTTTCAGTATTTCCATAAAGAATGAGATACGAGCCTGCCTCTCACCTAAGACCCAGGTGGATCAACTTAATATCCT